GTATAAACCCAGCAATTGCCAAAGTTGCTATGAAAAAAATCCTGGGCCATTTATGGTACTTATCAGAAGAGTTGGTGTCTTTTGCATTTTTCGACGACGAACTTTCATTTCAAGATAAGAAAAAGATGGTAAATGTACTCAGAAACGAAGGTGTAGAGGATTGTCCAAAAAGAAAAAGCATTGATGTTGAACACATTAAGGAAAAAAGCATAGAATATTTTGTGACTAGTAACTCTTTACGATTTTTTTATATACTGGGCATTTCATCACAGTTTTTGAATAAAGACGTTGAAACTTGGAAAGATGATTCTAATTTTAAGGCAGCAAAGAAAATCGTCCATTCTATGCGGGTAGTGAATGATATTGCTGAGCGTGGTGTTGCCTTAATGGAGGAATATAATAAATTGATAACAAACGATGAAGAGCAAAAGCAGTATTTGCTTTTGTTGGTAAAACAGTACAGAAAGAAATATCCTGATACAAAAAAATCAACACTTGTATCCTGATTTTAAACAATTTCAGTATTAAAACATTTTCTTATTTGTAATGTTTGCAGAAATTTTACATATAAATGTTTTATATCAATAAATAAAATTGAATGATTAATATAGTGTTTTTGCTGTTTTCAATTAAAATTGAAACATTGGTAGCAACCTTAAAATATTATTTTAAAAATAAAATAAAAATACTGAGAGTGATTCTTAGCATAGAGAAGCAATTGAGATGGTGCCCGGTGAAAAATTTTAAAACAACATTTTTTGCCCCATGTAAGGACCACCCTAATATGGGAGCGTTCAAAAATTACGTAACATTTTTTGGGGGCGGGGGGGGTCAAGCACTTTGTTACGGACAGCAGAAAAAATGGCGCTAATGTATGCAATAACGTGTTACATGGGAAGGGGGGGGGGTCAAAATTAAAAAAAAACGTTACGTAATTTGTGAACGCTCCATATATATATATATATAGCACAAATGAATACGCCTAAGTTATTAAGACCAGCGCACAGTGGGGCAGGAAAACCATTTTATAGCTAAAAAAACAAAAAATGAAATTTTATTTTAAAATTCTGCAAATTAGTATATCATTAGACTATATATTGACAAACATTTTGTCTTATTTTAAAAGTCCAAAAGTTTCACTTAGTCTTTACCATAATGTACTTTCTTCGCAAGTTGACGGAACGTGGTAAGTATGGATGCAATTTCTGTGTAACTTGAAAGTGTTTGTATCTTCTTGCAGAATTGATAATAATGTTTCTAAAGCATAGAAACTTGTCCTGTATGTATTGAACTATATTTTAATCATATTTATTTGTTGGTTTCCTGATATTTTCATATTTTAATACATGTTTAAGTAATGTGATGTTGGCTATAAGTGTAGGTTATAAAACATTCAATTTTTTAATTATGCATTTAAGTACATAGAGCACTAAATTATTTTTTTTCTATTACTTTATAATATAAAGAACCAATAAATAATTAAACATTTTGCTACTTTTTGCTACTTTTTGCTATTTTTTTAGTTATAGTCATTTCTGTAGTCGCAATCATGTGGACTTGAATTTTTAAAAATTTATATTTATTCAAGCTATAATTATAAGAATAAAAATTCATAGAGTTAAAAGAGTTAAAATAAATGAATATTGGTCAATAAAAATTATAAATATAATTTTATTTATTAATAATGGGGTAAAATTAATTAGATTAATAGTAAATAATGAAATTCAATTAATTAGAAAAGAGAAAATTTAAATTTTTATTGATTAAAAATGTTAAAGAGCAAAAAATTATTATTAATAAAATTTTCGGCCATTTTCTTTTTCTTAAAAGTGAAACCGGATTCGTTATCAGCGACCCCGAAAACCCCCGAGTAAGCATTTTCAGCCCGAATTGACCCGTTTTTAGAAAAATTTATCCGCCATTTTGGGTCGGCCATTTTCTTTTTCTTAAAAGTCAAACCGGATTCGTTATCAGCGACCCTGAAAACCCCCGAGTAAGCATTTTCAGCCCGAATTGCCCCTTTTTTATAAAAATTTGTCTGCCATTTTGGGTCGGCCATTTTTTTTTCTTAAAAGTGAAACGGGATTCGTAATCAGCGACCCCAAAAACCCCCGAGTATACTTTTTCAGCCCGATTTGACAAATATTTGATTTTATAGCGCGAAATAAGCTTCCCTGCCCCACTGTGCAGCGTCCCTCCGATTGTCAGTCCTCAATATAGTTATGAAAATTTCCACCTATTGGTAAATTGCGCCACACAAATTTTTATTAAAGAAAGAGAAAATAATATATATATATATATATATATATTATTTTCTCTTTTGAATAATGAATACACCTAAGTTATTAAGACCAGCGTCCCTCCGATTCTCAGTCCTCAATATAGTTATGAAAATTTCCACCTATTGGTAAATTGCGCCACACAAATTTTTATTAAAAAAAGAGAAAATAATATATATATATATATATATATATATATATATATATATATATGGGCAATTCCACATGAGATTTATAGTCGAGGTTTAAAATTCTGGTAAATATATTTTCTTCTTATTCTTTGCAGAAAAACACGAAATACGTATTTTTTATTTTTGAAAAATCGGACAAATTTTTTAGTTATGAATTTTTGGCTTTGAGGAAGTAGACTTTTTTTAATGACTTATATCTCAGAAAATATTGAATTTAGTGAAATCTTGTGACACCGGTCACTGTAGAGGGAGTAACTGCCCTGGCGGATTTGATTTACCTAAATTCGACCCAGCTGGGGCGAATCTAAGTCGAATTTAGGTAATTATCAAAAAAAGCTTTAAATTGATGAAAATTTATAAAAATTAGTATTGTGAGGTTAAATGAACATTTATAGAGTAAATTTTTGTAAGAATTTTAATTATTAACGTATTAACGTATTAACAAAATTTGCTTTCTTGTGGAGGAAGCAATAAGATTGTTTCGTTTATGTAATATTGTATACTGTATTTATTTTTATTATAAAATATTTATTTCAAAAAAAGAAAACTTTACAAAAATTGTTTGATTATTCGAAAAATTAAAAATTACGTTAATTTCTATTAATTTTTAGTAAAATGTGTAATTTATCGATTTGTTTTGAGGCAAAGAATTTAATTTTATTATATATTATTTTGAATTGAAGCACAGACAAAAGTTTTTAACAAAAATGTTAACTTTTGAATTTTTGATTTTCCCTACTGAAAATACCTACGTAGGATCCGACGTTGGAAACTATTAGGTTTCACCTTCGTAATAGGATTTGGATTTTACGTCGCAATAGAAGTAGTAAACGACATCAAAAAATACGTCGTTACCGACTTGGGAAACTTGATCGGAATTTGGGATAGGATCCGACGTCGGAAACTAAGTCGTTTCATTGACGTATTCTATTAGGTTTCTATTGGTAAATTTTTTTAAAGAAAGCTTAAATAATAGTCATTTTCTCATTTTTTTTGTCCTTGGCATTTAGGAAACTATATAATATTTAAAATAAATAAGTTTTATTATTAAATATTTTTAAAATTATATAGTTTAAATAGTTTTATATTCCACTAGTTCAAATAATAAGTAGTTTTATAATTTGTTTTAAAATCTTTGTATTTTATAAATTTGAGAATAAAGTACAGCCAAATGTATAGGGTTTAAAATTAGTATCAGTTATGTTATTAAGTAATAATAAGTGAGTTAAAATTAATTAACTATAATAATTTCCGTATTCATTCATTCATTCCGTCTGTCCACACTTGAAGTTAGTCGTATTTTGTTCCTTTTGTTTTTCTAAAATTTTGACAATTCTTGATTTCGTAATATTTTATGGTTAACACGACGGATATTTTTATTCATCGTCATTAATTAAGTCATATACTAAGTGACAGATTAAAGTAAAAAAAAAATATTGTTCATTGTGTGCAGCACCAGTATATTTCCTACTTGGTATTTATAGAAAAAAAGTTTCAATTATAATATAATTTTTATTATTATTTATTAACTATAATAATTTCCGTATTCATTCATTCATTCCGTCTGTCCACACTTGAAGTTAGTCGTATTTTGTTCCTTTTGTTTTTCTAAAATTTTGACAATTCTTGATTTCGTAATATTTTATGGTTAACACGACGGATATTTTTATTCATCGTCATTAATTAAGTCATATACTAAGTGACAGATTAAAGTAAAAAAAAAATATTGTTCATTGTGTGCAGCACCAGTATATTTCCTACTTGGTATTTATAGAAAAAAAGTTTCAATTATAATATAATTTTTATTATTATTTATAAATTTATTATATTATATATACATTTTTTTAAATATAATGATTAATACAGATAATTAGAACATTTTAACTTATAATTATTATTTATCTTTCATTATTTTTTCATTATTCATTATTATTTATTATAAATTATTATTCATAAATTTATTATTATTAATTTGTTTTTATTATTAATTATTAAATTGTTATATTTTTTTTATCTATAAACAATATAAAAATAGTTTGCTTTTTTAAAAAATTTTCAATTTGATTTTAATTTTTAATTTAAGTTTAAAGTTTAAAACATTACAAATTTTTTTTAGGTTTTATTTTTTCAAAATTTTTAAATATTTTTTAATTGCTTAATACTTTTTAAAATATAATTAATAATTTTCAGTTAATTTAAATTTCTTTTTGATTACATAATTTTTTAATACTTATTAATTATCAGTTAATTAAATTTTTTGAAAAAAAACATAAATTTAAAATTTTCATTTGCAACGAAATATTTATAGAAAATACAAAAAAATATTTAGCATAATTAATTTTTTGTAATTTAAAAGATTATAAAAAATTCATCGAACATTGACTTTATCAAAAATATTTATTTCTAAAATTTTAATATTTATATTTTAAAATTTTTTCTTAAATTTATTTATTTATATAACATCAAACTCATTTTTTTCTGTGTATAAATAAATGATAACGTGAAAATTAGAAATATACCTATTATTATTTTAATACTCCACTGATGCAGAATTATTATTATTATTATTAATATTATTATTATTTTAAAATAACCATTGCAATGAAAGTTGGACGCGCGCTTGCGCGCGTGTAATTTTGCTAGTAAGTAATAATAATAAGGTAAGTATTAAGGTTAGGTAAGTGAGAAATAAGTGAGATAAAATAAGTAATAATAAAGTAATATCATTCACGTTGACGGTGTCTTCTTTTGACGTCATATAACTTTTGCGACATATGAGACCATAATTTTTTCATTCTAATGGCTCTCTTTCCAGGAGAGCATCTATTTTTTGTCGTGAGGTTATAACGAAGAGCATCTGTAAAAATTATATTTTATATATTATTTTCCTATAATAATTAGTCTTTCTTTAATGTTCTTTCGCTTGCTTTAAAATTTATTCTTAAACTATTAAAAATATTTAGCGGCCTATCGTGTATGTCATTCGATTTAAAATTTTCATTAACTTATACGTTACAAAAAATTTAGAAGATTATTATTTAATATATTTATTTTGTATGTATATAAAATAAAAATTTTGTACCTAATGAATTTGAAACACATTACATTTTACTTTCAGTAGACTTTGAATCAATTGAAATTTCCACAATATTGAAAAAAGAACTAATTTAAATGTAGATTAATTAAAATACAAATTGATTAAAATTAAATTTAAATGAAAATTATATGGTTTAAAATGTAGATAATGAATAATATATCTCAATGTCTGCAAAGCAATTATTATTGAAATTTTGGAAAAAAATCTTCATAAAGTAAAATTCTTAACAAGTTCAAATCTTTTAAAATTCAATTATTTCTTATAATTTTAGCCTTTGCTAGTGCAAAATTAAATTACTTTTTTAAATATTCATACAAATTCTATTACAAATCATTAACATTATTCAAAAGTGGAAGAAAAACTAAACTTTTCTTTTCAAAGAAAAACTCTTTTTCGTTCATTTTAAAGATAGAGGTAATTAAAAATATGTCAAGTTTTAAAAAGTCAAAAAATTAAAAAATTCACAACTTGAAAATTCATTACAACTTAAAAAAATTACTCTTTTTAGGGTTCCGTACCCGAAGGGGGAACACTATTAATGAGACTAGTGAAGCAAGGCATGTACCCCCCCCCCTAGCGGCCACACAAATTTATCTAGAGAACTGAAATTTGGTATACATATGTATTTTGGCGTGTAGATTACAGGAAAAATATAGCGAATCTCATAGGAATTAATTATCATAGCGTTGTCAAGGAAAAACCATGATTTTTTACGAAAAATCCCTAAAAATGACTATGTACCCCCCCCTGGTTGCCACATCATTTTACATAGAGAGCTCAAATTTGGTACACTTATGTATTTTTACGTGAAAATTACAGGAAAAATATAGCGAACATAATTCGGATTAATTTACATAGCGTTGTCAAGGAAAAATCAAAAATTTTGAAAAAAAGCGATTAATCCTCCTAGCGCACACAATATTTGACAAAGGCAGTTCATATTTGGTATATTTACGTATTTTTGCGTGTAGATTACAGGAAAAATATAGCGAGCACAATTGGAGTTGATGTTCATATTGTTTTTAAGGAAAACTCATTTTTTTAGAAAAAATCATGGATTTTTCGAATAAAAAAAGAAGAAAATTTTATCCTAAGGGATCCAAATTTATACTTTTTTACGTATTTTTACGTGTAGATTACAAAAAAAATATAGCGAGAACGATTGGAGTTAATTATCATAGTGTTTTCAAGGAAAAACTGATAATTTTCGATAAAAATCATGATTTTTCCCCAAAAAACAAAGAATATTTTATCTAAAGAGTTTCAAATTTATACACTTTAACGTATTTTTGCGTGTAGATTACAAAAATATATAGCGAGAACTCCAATTGTGCTTGCTATATTTTTTTGTAGTGTTTTGCCATTCTTTATAATTTGCCATTTTCTTTTTTTTATCATTTGCTATTTTTTTTATCTTTTGACATTTTTTATTTGTTGATATTTTTATTACTTGGTGAAATCTAAAAAAATCATAAAATTGAAAATATTAAATGATAAAAAAAATTAAAAAATTTTTAAAAACTTATGAAATGTATTTCCATGCTCAAAATTAAACAAAATTTGAATTTTTCCATCGGCCTTCACACTTTAAACCCCTCAAATTTTAGGATTAGGGGTACGGAACCCTCGGTTTTAATGCAAGTGTAACTCGCACTTGTCCGATTTTTTTAGAAAATAGTAAGACAAAAATATTTTGGATCTGATTTAAAATGTGAATTGAAATTTCCCGTAGATGGATTTAGATTTCCCGCATTTGCAATATTCATTACAAATTAAACATCAGTTTTTAAAATATTGAATTTATTACCTTTTACGAGTTGATACTTGCGTGGTGTTAGCAAAACACTTTCTTCAGAAGTTCTCCTGAGGCACCTATTCCTCAGAGCTTCTGCGCCCCATATAACTTCAGACACGTCACGCACAAAACGTGAATCATTTTTAAGCAACATTAATTCCCATGTATCCTCATATATATGATAATCGCCTCCAATAGAAACCTATTTGAAATAATAATTTGAAAAGTTAAAAAATATTTTTTTACATAAATAATTTCTGAAACAAAGACTTCAAATAAAAGTTTAAAATTAAATAATTAGAAAGTATTTAGAAAATTATGAAATACTTCTGTTTACAGTACCGGCCACGAGTAAAAATCAAAATAATTCAAAAAATTATCAAGAGTATTAAAGAGTTAAAAAAAACAGTGTAAAATATGTGTACTTAAAAAATAAACTAAAATTCGAGAAAGCTTCTTAAATACTTATTTATTTGATTTTTTAATATAAGTTTTTTTGTGTAAACAATGACAATCTATTTTTAAAAATTTCTTGATTCTATTTTTACGGTTGGAAATTTTTTTGTGAAAATATATATAAAAATATCAGTCGATTATTCAAATTTTACATTAAATAGCGATTAAAATAAGCTCAAGAACGTTGACAAACGTTACTTTTCAAGAAATTAAAAAATTAAGAAAAGCATACAAAACCAACAAATTTTTTACTGTATCATACGAAAATATAATTAAAATTCATCGAACAGGTGTCATTTTTTTACATTTTCATCAGATTTCGGAAAAAAAACTGAAAATTTTTCGTGTTTTTTTTTTAAATTCTAAGCTTTTTATCAGTTAATGAGCGCCCCTATATAGTCTCGGTCGGTACTGCATTTGTTCTGAAAAACTTAGAAGTGGTTTTTTTTCTTCTCAAAGAAAAAAATAAAATCCAAATAATAACAAAATCAATTGTCTGAATATTCTTCCTAAAGCTTAAGTGTTTTAATTTTTGCAATACCCAATTTTATTTAATTAAGATTCTGCTTCATAAAAATGTGGTTTCATACACATTTTAATAAAAATAAATACAGCCGAGCAAAAAGTAAATAAATATCATATAGGGTAAACTATAAAAATTCTCAAAAGCGACATTTGATCTGCTATATTTAAAATGTATAAATTTCAAACTCAAATAATCTTTGCTTAATATGAAAATTTTCAATTCTGAAATAATTTTGCATTAGAAGATACATCGAAAATTTGTTAACGCGCTGTCCATGCAAAGTTATAGTAATTTTTAGTCAATATTGTCTTATCTGATTATTAAGCTTAAAATATTGCTATAAAATGTTTGCAAAGTGTTTTTAAATTATTGAAATAATACCTGATCATTTACTGCTTTATAACGGGTCTCCGTTTCTCGCAATAATGCTCCAGCTTCTGCCTGGTTTGCATTGGGTTGTTGTTGATCCCTTTGTTGTTGGAGTAATCTCTGTACTTCTTCGTTTCTTTCCTGCGCTCGTAAGCGAGCAGCTCTTTCCGTTCTTTTCTGGATTGTATCGCGTGAAGTAGAAGGACCAGCACCTAAAGCATCGCCGGGAATTTCAGCACCTCTCTGCAGTCCTGCCTGGATTGCATTGGGTTGATCTCCTTGTTCTTGGTGTAATCTCTGTACTTCTTCATTTCTTTTCTGTGCTTGTAAGCGAGAAGCTCTTTCTGTTCTCTGCTGGATTGGATCGCGTAAAGTAGAAGGACCAGCACCTGAAGTATCGCCAGGAATTTCATCACTGTTTCCATTACTAGAATCGGATAAAGTAGAAAACCGCTGGTTATCATCTGGAGCCCCATTCATAGATTTATTTGTGGTATCAGATGAATCAGAAAAGCGTGCTTACTTTCGACTTTTATCAGCATTTTCTAAAATCAATTATTTAACATTTAATTTAGAAAAAAATGTTACAAAAATAAATTTAATACTCATATTACATACTGTCGGACATAAAACGACGAACTCCTCTTTCGGGTACTTCTTCATTAGTCAACGAATCGTGCTGTAATAACACCGTAGCCATCGTGCTAAGAGCTTCCAATTGTTCTGAATTCATCACAGTTTGTTCTTCTAAAAGTAAAAGTAATACATTTTTTTAAAGTTTCATTTATTGCTAATTAAATCGATTGTTATTATAAAATGGTTAAAAAAATACCCATAAAACTTAAAAATAATAAAAAGTGTTTTCCTGGTGTTTGTATTATCATTATTAATATTATTTTATTTGTATTTTATTTATTTATTTTATTTTATTAAAATTATTATTAATATTAATAATTTTTAAAAAATGTAAATTATTGTTAATTTAAAAATTAATTAAGACTTCAGGTTGATGTATGAAAGTGGCTGCCTGTGATTCTATGAGCTCCAAAAAATTACTGTTAAGTAAATAGAGGTGCTGGTAATTATATAAAAGAGTGATTGGACGATAAGAAGAGGTAAAATAAGGAACTGAAAGAAGAAAAAGTTAGAGAATTATAAAGTTATTAAAGTGGTACAGCGAAAAAAGTGGTGAATGGGTGGAAGATGTGATGCAAGGGGGCATTAAGTATCAGTGTTGTTTATTTTGAATTTAAATAGGAAGACCACTATGAAGTAAAAACGCTGTAATAAAACCACACCAAAGGATTCAAATTTAAAGGATACAAAATTAAAAATGTTTGCTACAGGAAAAAAAATGGAATTTCAGACGAGTATGGAGAAAATGTTAATATCAATAGGTCAAGAAATAAAGAAATAATTGAAAGAACAATTACAGGAGTAAAAATAAAAACTGTTAAAAGAATTTATCGAAAGAATGGATAAAAGAGGAGCCATGGAGAAAAGAAAAGGAAAAATGGAATTTTTCTGTTTGAAAGAATTTGAAGACTTGAGGGGGACAAGGAAGAAAGAGAAATAGAACGCAGGAAATTAAATATAGTTATAAAAGAAGAAAAATATACAGATGAAAAATTAGCGGAAATCGTCGAAGATTTTATTTACAAAGGTTTAAAATTAAAGTAAAAGCGGAAAATGCACGTCAAAGCGGGTAACTCCGGACACTCATACATTTTTTAGAATATTTTGTTTTTCTATTCTACCTAATAGTTTTCAAACGGAGTTAGCGTTTTTATCGTTTTATTGAATATCCAAGGAATATAATGTGATAAATTAAAAATAAAAATAAACAAAATAATTCAAGAAAAAAATTAATTTGGTTAGAAGAAAGTTTTGTTGGTTATTGCACTTTGTTGCACCTGAATTTGTAAATTATTTTGTAAATGTGTTTTATTTGAGGAAATGAAATTTTGTAGGATAACTTCGGACATTGGGAGGAATATGAAATAAAAAAGTCGCAAATATTACTAGTTTTCGGAAAGTACAATTCAAGAAACTTTTTAAAAGTTAGAAAATAAATTGAGCGCTCAAAAAACCATCTGAAAACTACACAGTACTCAAAAGTACAAAATTTCAAAAATATTCATTCTTCAAATATACCATTAATTAATTTTAATGAATAAATTTTGTTTATTCTTGTAAAAAAATCATGAAAAGTATTCACAAAGCTTTTGAATACTTTCTTATTAAAACAAAATACTTTTATAACATAATTATCCAAAATAATGTTGAATAATGCAAAAAATTTAAAAGTGTCAAGGGTTATCTGTCTTTGTAGGCTAACACCGGACACTCCTGTTTTACTTGCGAGAAAATTACTGAGATATCTAAAAAAATTTTAACCACACATACCATCACACAGGACCCTAAAGAATATTTATTCCAAACGTCAAGCCTTCAGATGGTATTTTATAAAAATTATTAATGAAAAACATTAAAAACTGTCCTAAGTTACCCGCTTTGACGGTACGCATTAAAGAAAAAAAAGTTGAAAATTTTTAAACAAAAGAATAAAAAAATATTTTTTTTACTTTAAAATTAGAAACAAAATTTTAGTGTTTCTGCAAATTAAAATTTTATACCGTTTTATTTATTTTTTTAATTAAATTTTTTATTTAATTACTTCTTATCAATTTACCGTTTTGTTGTGTGTCATCATTTTTTTCAGTATTTGATTCTTCAAAGACTTCTTCATCAATAACGTCATCATCCATATCTATTTCAGATGTTTCTTCTGAGTCAGAGTCTTCAATAATTTTGCGCCGATTTCGCAAGAGTAATTCCTCTTTTTTCAATTTCATTACCTCTCTCTTCATCAACATCATATAGGAGCCTTTTTCTGCTTTTCTGTAAAGAGAAATCAATTAAGTCAGTTTGAACAAAAACCGCAAAAGTTCACAAATCAAAATTGTTTAGGAACGAATAATTACTGTTTTTCTTGTAAATACAAGAATTTCTAACATTTTTACTTTTTGCATAATATTTTCCTAGTCCAGTTTGAAACTCCACTATGAACGATTTTTTTTTATTACCATAAGGTGTAAACAATTAAATAAAATTTTTGACTTGTGCTGTTTCTACAAAAAATGGAATGGAAAAACACAAGAAATAGAACAAAGTAAATGTTTTTGATAATAATAAATAATAAAAAAAACAATAAAATAAATCTAAAACAAAATAAATAAATTTTATTAAATATTCAGTAAAAATATATTACAAAATATTAAATTTCATTAATTTTAATTAAGATTATATTTTTATAATTACTTTTTTATCGAAGATTCAAAGTGCCAAAAAAAATTGAAATTTTTAACATTCTTATTTATTATTTATTTGAAATATTAAAACTTGAAAAATTAATTTTTTTTGTAAATTTTACCAATTAGTGCGACTTCATTTAAACAAAATTTTTCAGTAAAAAAATCATTCTCGAAAATAAATGAACTTGTACTGTTTCTGTACAAACTGATTCAATCAATTTTATTTTTTTTGGTCATGACGATTACAAAATAATTACCGGTTTTGCTTTTTTTTGCCTTTCATCTTGTGAAAAACTCATATTCCGTTTCTTAGGAAATGGTACTCTTTTCGCTTGGTTCTGCTTGTATCACTTTCTGAAAATGTTAAATATTTTATAAATTTCAATTTAAAATATGCTTTTTCAAATCCAAATATATTATTGTACGTGTCAAAGTTTCTCAAACGGATCACCTAAAATTTATAATTAAAAATAAATTACAATTATTCTTCAAAATTACATCATTTTTTTTAGTTTTAAAAAATAATCAAAATAAGTTGCTGTGATTTTCGACTGAATAATTATTTTTGTTAAAGTTATTAGAAATTTCATTTTTTAACAATTTTTTCTTCAGATTTTGTTAATCGACTTAAAATTAGAAAACAGGATTTCTTTACTTGGAAATATAGATTACAATTACAATTTTGGTTTAAATATTAATTTAAAAAAAATTTTTTTTAAATGTGATTTTTTATGAAATATGTTAAATAAAATTATTTTTGTAAACTGCAATCAAAACAAAAGCAACCTGTTTTTTTATTTTTAAATCGATTAATCGGATAAAAAAAAAAAAATTATTTGGAACTATTAAAAAATTTAATTGTTAATAAGCAAAAATTTTTTTGTCTAAAATTTTGAAAAACTTTTTTATTTAATCACAGTGGAAGTAAAAAAAATTAATTTACTGTTGAAATATTTTTTTTCTGATCCGTTTGAGGAACTCTGACCCTTCTACTTATTGAATTAAGAACAGTTATTACACTTTTAAAAGATTATCATAAAATTTGTTTTTGGTATAACCATCACATTTTTTCTAACAATATATGATTGCGAATATCTTCTAAATTAAAACATCACAGAATATACATATAATATTTATATATGTATAGGCCTATATTATATGTATATATGGGTTATTTTCAGAAAAATCTTCTTTTGCAAGTATAAAGAAATAAAAAAGAAAATTAATTGTTTGTAGTTCAGGAAAACTGAATAATATTAAAATTCGAAAAATTTAACATTTTTATCACTTGATTATACTAATTTCTACCTTTTAACAAAGATAATTAAATTTAAAATTTATCGAAAAGTGAGAGGTTCTAAATTAAAGCAGCATGTGATAAGTTTATGCTAAAATAATTGCGATCAATTTAAATATATTAACTTTCTTTTTATTTTGAGTTAAAGTAATGACCCCTTAGGTTGGGAATCTTTGAAAATGCCTTAATTATCATTTTTTGTATTCGAATGACTATTTTTCAAAAAAAAAAAGAAAAAACCTGTGGCTTAACGAAAGAGATACTAACACAAATGTTTATCCCAATAATTAAAAACTAACTCTATTAAAAGCGAAAATATTAGATAATATATTTAACGAGTCAAAGGAATAACTCGAGACTAGAGGACAAATTCTATATTTAAAAAACTCTTAAGACATATTTTATTTATATTTTAGAAAAATGTTTTTCAATATCATATCTTTTAAAAGAAATTCATAAAATATTGAATTTTATGTTTTTAATCATAGTTTTATGTGTTAGAAAATTGGAAAATTGTTTGAGCACATGTTAGATAACCTAGATTTTAGGTTGTAAAATTAGAAAAAAAAATGAAACAATAAAAATTTTTAACGTTTCTTTGTACGATGTTCAGAAGAAGTACTAAATAAATAGAATACCAATTTGGTATTTTCTTAAAGAATTATAATTATTTTGAAATTATTCTTAAGAACATCCCAAATGAGTTTTTTTGATTTTGTAATTTTAGAAAAACAATCAAAAGAAAGAAAATATTTTTAAAAACAGGAAGTTCAGAATCTTATAATATGCTGCATATATTTTTATTCAATTTATATTTATTGCAAATAAGTAATCAAAACATACCTCCCAAACGAAGAATGAAGATGTCGACAACGTCTTCAGTTGTCTCGTTGACAGAATTATCAACAAAATACGATTTTAATTTATATTTTTTTCCTTTTTCAAAATCCTCTTTATTCGATGGATTAAAATCATAAATGTTATCAACTTCAACTGTATCGGTTAATCCATCTTTCACATAAAGTATAAAAGCGTGCGTCAATTTCGTATTCTTCTTAGCACTGGGAATTTTGAGCAAT